AAAGTATTCACTGGATGTATGACTGCAAGTGATTACCGTTTGGTGCCAACTCAGTTCAAGATGCCAAAGCTCATTAATGTTAGCCAACACAAAAAAAAAGGCAATGGGTTAACCAGTTTAACATATTTTAAGCTAAAATTCAGTGTGGTAGTAGCTAAGTAGCCTCAGCACATAATCAAAGTATATATATTTACCATAAGATTGAACATAATGTTAAGGTTTGGTCAAAACAGCTTCAGCATACTACGAGATTATCCTATCCTAAAATTTGCGATGAAAGGGTGCGGGTGATGTGCATTTTGTCAAAGAAGGACAGGTCTGTTTATTTTATTTTACACAAAAGTGCTGATGAGATTTAGTCTCTACAGATTCATATTAGCTTTGTATAGATCTATTAGAGTGCTGTAAAGTATGCTGTGAATGGTTAAATGAGGACACAGATTGTGTTGTAAAGAGCTTTGAGTATATTGATCAGATAGAAAGGAGCTACATAAGTACTGTCCATGATTTCAGTTTCATTGCAACCAGTAAGAAATATGTATATTATGTACAACTGACTGTTAAATTTGCCAACCTGTTTTCTCCAGGGATCTGAAAGAAAGTGATGCTAATGGTTTTGTCCAGAGAGCCATCAGTGCTGCCAATGTTTACAATAACATTATAAAATACATAGATGACGCCAACATCACCTCCCTCACCACCTTCAACTTATCAAGGAGAGCTGAAGATGTACGGTATATCACATATGTCAAAATTCCTTTCCTGTTTTTGTTTTCTGACAGCTTCAATTTTAATGTCATCTTTTTTAGGCCGTTGCTGGGATTAACACTCAGCTTGGAAACCTGGTCACACAAAGCAACTTTCTTTTCAAGAACACTGTTTCCTTACATTCAGAACAACATGGTATTTATCTTTGAACAATATCATATGCTTATCATCTAGTGTGTATAATGTCCAATGTGCCTGTTTTATTCAATACGTTATACTGTCACAGAGACAGAAAGTGAGGTGGTGGATGCACTGACGTACATAGAGGAGACCCAAGAGACTATGGAGAAAAACAAGAAGAAACTTGAAGAAATAGCTGACAACATTGGGGAAATTCAAAGAGGTAAAATTGTACTTGGTTGTTTTAAACAAGGATACATCTTGTTCTTACATACTGTTTTACCCCACTGAGAGATCAGTAGCTGAATGTTATAGCTGGTAATGTGGTGTATGAAGAAAGTGTTAGCTGATAAGTGTTTAACAAAAAATCAAAGGTTTGCTTTAGTATTAATCCACTTATTTTCTCCCCTGAACAGACTGCAATCTGGAAGTGTGCATTTAATGTGATATTTGTAGATCCAGAAATATTGTATAAACACCATGTCCAACCCCTGGTGGCACGGTGGCGAAGATGGTAGAGCTGTTGCCTCTCAGCAAGAAGGTCGCCAGTTCAAATCCCAGCTCGGAACCTTTCTGGGTGGAGTTTGCATGTTCTCTCCATGCTGCGTGGGTTTTCTCTGGCTACTCCGGTTTCCTCCCACAGACCAAAAACATGCATGTTAGACTGATTGGTAACTCTAAATTGTGTCTAGAGTAAAGATAATGGATGGATGCGCTTGAAATGATTCTTATTCAGTAGTTGATTACCAAAATTTAACAATTAGTTTTTACTGTCCAATGATTTTACAACCAAGCCTATTTTAGCTGATTTAAAGATTTACTGTTTACTTATTTTTAGGTGTCAGCCAGTTGTGTCAACCATTTAGGATTTGAGGTTCTACAGTTAACTCTTACATAACAGCCACAGGAAATTGACATGTTTTGATGTGTGAAAACATGTTAAATTAACATAGATGTACAAAGTGCTGTCGTCTTGTATTCCTGAGGCTGCAGGATCAAGCCCAGGTTGAGTCCGAAAGAAAATGTAGTGTCAAATCTTTTATGTGCGTTTGCTCACTGTGGCCACCCCTGCAGAAAGGAGCAGCCAAAAGAAAAACATCAAGGTGCTGATAAGTTTTTATCTTCAATTAAAAATTACTATTGACATTTTTTCTGTGTTATCAATATTTTTATTCCCTGTTAACTTTTTTAACTTGCAAGGAAACAATAACCACTTGTTTATTTATGATTAGAATGATTAAAACATGAATAACAATAAAGGATAAATGTATAGTCTAGGGCAGCACGGTGGCGCAACTGGTAGAGCTGCTGCCTCTCAGCGAGCAGGTCCTTGGTTCAAACCCCAGTCCAGGGGCCTTCTGGGTGGAGTTTGCATGTTCTCTCCGTGCATGTGTGGGTTTTCTCCGGGTACTCCGGTTTCCTCCCACAGACCAAAAACATGCATGTTAGGCTGATTGGTAACTCTAAATTGTCCCTAGGTGTGAGTGGGAGTGAATGGTTGTTTGTCTCGTTTGTCTCTATGTGGCCCTGTGATGGACTTGCGACCTGTCCAGGGTGTACCCCGCCCCTCGCACAGTGATTGCTGGACATGGGCACCAGCGACCCCCGTGACCCAAAATGGAATAAGCGGGTAAAGATAATGGATGGATGGATGTACAGTCTAGATATTAGGTGAATGCAGAGTCAGCAGTTTCTACTGTTTCCTGGTTAGTTTCTTCCAGATGTATTTCTGCTATTAAACTACTGCATACTTTGTGATCTTTTAATCAATCATATCTCAAAACATTCGGCATCACACCACAGTGTCATGTGACCTTTGGTTTGTGTAACTTTTATAATTTACAAAATATCTAACTTTTTAATTTTAATTTTATTTTGCTGCTTTTATGTTTTAGCTTCTGTTGTCTCCAAATTTGAATGTTGACTACCGGTTTGCAATTCTAAGCCTCAAGTTAAAAGGGGGAAATGATGACGCAGAGAAGGAGATCAGAAGGTTGCCGGCTCAACTCCCCTGACCGACAACATCAAAATGTGGGTGGGAAACGTGAAACACCCACACCTGCCTCCACCCTCATTTGCCCCTCTCTGGGCCCTTGAGCAAGGCCATTAACCCCCACCATGTGCTCCCCCGGGCACCCTAGATAGCAGCTCTCTGCTCCACACAGAGGGCTGTGGTAGCTCGGTGGTCTGTGGTTGTGTCAGGAAGGACAACCGGAGTAAAAACAATCACCAAGTCTTCATGTGAGTTAGTTCACTGTGGCGACCCCTGAAGTAGGGAGCAGCTGAAAAAAATAAAAGCCTTTAGCTGGCATTTATCCAAACTGAGCTTTTAGCTACTCTTCTGCTCATTTGAGTTTTACTATTGTTTTGCTAATTTTAGTTACAGTTCTCCTTTCATCTGCTTTTCTACTGCTGTTATCATTTTGTTGCCACTTTTTGTCTTTTTGTTGCTATTTGCTGAAATAGCATGTGTTTTACTCCTCCTTGAATTGCCACCTTATCGTGGTGGAGTTTGTATGCCTGAATGATCCTAGGAGCTATGCTGTCGGGGTCAATAATTGCCCCTGGTAGGGTCTCCCAAGGCAGATTGGTCCTAGGTGACAGGCCAGACAAAGAGCGATTCAGAAGATTTTTATGGACAAAACAAAACAAAGAACTCGGTGTCCCTTGCCCAGACGTGGGTTACCGGGGCCCCACCCTGGAGCCAGGCCTGGGGGAGGGGCTCGTTGTTGAGCACCTGGTGACCTGGTCTCTGCCCATAGGGCTCGGTCGGGCTCAGCCCGAAGGAGCAGCATGGGTTTGCCTTCCTATGGACCCACCACCTGCAGGAAGGGCCATAAAAGTTGGGTGCATGATGTTATGGGCAGTGGTCGAAGGCGGGGACCTTGGCGCTCTGACCCTGGCTTACCAAAGCTAGCTCTTGGGACATGGAATGTAACCACTCTGGCAGGGAAGGAGCCTGAGCTTGTGCGCGAGGTTGAGAGGTACCGACTAGATATAGTTGGGCTCACTTCGATGCACAGCATGGGCTCTGGAACTGATCTCCTTGAGCGAGGTTGGACCTTATTCCACTCTGGAGTTGCCCATGGTGAGAGGCATTGAGCTGGTGTGAGTCTACTTGTAGCCCCCCGACTTGGTGCCTGTGTGTTGGAGTTTTCCCCGGTAGATGAGAAGGTGGCTTCCCTTCGCCTTCAGGTGGGGGGATGGGCTCTGACTGTTGTTTGTGCCTACGCGCCAAACTGCAGTTCAGGGTATCCGGCCTTCTTGGAGTCCTTGGCAGGGGTGCTGGAAGGTGCGCCAGCTGGGGACTCCTTTATTCTGCTGGGGGACATCATTGCCCAGACGGGTAATGACAGTTTGACCTGGAGGGGTGTGATTGGGAGGAACGGCCTCTCTGATCTGAACCCGAGCAGTGTTCTGTTGTTGGACTTCTGTGCTAGTCATAGTTTGTCCATCACAAACACCATGTTCGAACATAAGGGTGTCCATAAGTGCACTTGGCAACAGGATGCCCTAGGTCGTAAATCAATGACTGACTTCATAGTCGTGTCATCTGATTTGTGGCCGTTAGTTTTGGACACTCGGGTAAAGAGAGGAGCCGAGCTGTCAACTGATCACCACCTGGTAGTGAATTGGATCAGATGGCGGGGGAAGATGCCGGACAGACCCGGTAGACCCAAACGTGTAGTGAGGGTTTGCTGGGAACACCTGGCAGAAGAAGCCGTCAGAGAGATCTTCAACTCACACCTCCAGGAGAGCTTTAACCGCATCCCAGCTGAGGTGGGGGACATTGAGTCTGAGTGGGCCATGTTCCGCACCTCGCTTGTTGAGGTAGCTGCCTTGAGCTATGGCCGCAAGGTTGTCGGTGCTTCTCGCGGTGGTCATCCACGAACACGGTGGTGGACACCCCGGATTAGGGAGGCTGTCAAGCTGAAGGAGTCCTATCGGGCCTTGTTGACCAGTGGGACTCTGGAAGCAGCTGAGGAGTACCGGAGGGCCAAGTGGTGTGCAGCCTTAGCTGTTGCTAATATACAAAAGCTCTGATGTGGGAGGAGTTCGGTGAGACCTTGGATAGAGACTCTTGGTCGGCTCCAAGGAGATACTGGCAAACCATCAGGTGGCTAAGGAGGGGAAAGCAGCTCTTTACTAACACTGTGTTCAGTGAAGGTGGGGTGCTGTTGACTTCAACCAGTGATGTCATTGGGAGGTGAAAGGAATACTTCTCTGACCTTCTCAATCCCACCAGCATGTCTTCCATGGAGGAAGCTGAGTTGGGGGACTTCGGGGTTGATCCGTCCATAACCGTGGCTGAGGTCGCCAAGGTAGTTAAAAAGCTTTGAGGTGGCTGGGCTCCAGGAGTGGAAGAGATTCACCCTGATTTCCTTAAGGCTCTGGATGTTGTGGGACTGTCTTGGCTGACACACCTTTGCAACATCACATGGACATCGGGGGCAGTTCCACTGGACTGGCAGACTGGGGTGGTGGTTCCCCTCTTCAAAAAGGGGGACCAGAAGGTGTGCTCCAATTATAGGGGCATCACTCTCCTTAGCCTCCCTGGTAAGATCTATTCAGGGGTACTGGAGAAGCGAGTCTGATTGTTGGTCGAAACTCAGATCCAGGAGGAACAATGTGGGTTCCGTCCTGGCTGTGGAACACTGGATCAGCTCTTTACCCTCACTAGGGTCCTTGAGGGGTCATGGGAGTTTGCCCATCCAGTCTACATGTGTTTTGTGGACTTGGAGAAAGCATTCGACTGTGTTCCTCGGGGTACACTGTGGGGGGTGCTCCGTGAGTATGGGATTGGAGGCCCGTTGTTATGGGCTGTTCAGTCCCTATACAAGCGGTGCGAGAGTTTGGTTCGCATTGCCGGCAGTAAGTTGGACTCCTTCAGGGTGGGAGTTGGACTCCACCAGGGCTGCCCGTTGTCACAATTCTGTTCATAACTTTTATGGACAGAATTTCTCAGTGCAGCCAGCTGGCGGAGAGTTTCTGGTTCGGTGGCCTCAGGATTCCATCTCTGCTCTTTCCAGATAATGTGGTCCTGTTGGCGTCATTGTGCCGTGAACTTCAGCTCTCACTGGAGCGGTTCACAGCCGAGTGTGAGGCGGCTGGGATGAGAATCAGCACCTCCAAATCTGAGGCCATGGTCTTCAACCAGAAAAGGGTGGATTGCTCTCTTCAGGTCGAGGGTGAGGTTCTGCCCCAAGTGGAGGAGTTCAAGTATCTTGGAGTTTTGTTCACAAGTGAGGGAAGAATGGAGCGTGAGATTGACAGACAGATTGGTATTGATACAGCATCTGCAGTATTGCAGACTCTGTACCGGTCCGTTTTGGTGAAGAGAGAGCTGAGCTGTAAGGCAAAGCTCTCTGTTTACCGGTCAGTCTACGTTCCTACCCTCACCTATGGTCATGAGCTCTGGGTAGTGACCGTAAGAATGAAATCGCGGATACAGGCGTTTGAAATGAGTTTTCTGCGCAGGGTAGCTGGACTCTCCCTTAGAGATAGGGTGAGAAGTTCAGTTATTTGGGAGAGACTCAGAGTAGAACCGCTACTCCTCCACGTCGAGAGGAGCCAGTTGAGGTGGTTTGGGCATCTCTTAAAGATGCCCCCTGGGTGCCTCCCTTGAGAGGTGCTTCGGGCATGTCCAACTGGGACTTTGGCCTGGGAACATCTTGGAATCCTCCTAGAAGAGCTTGAAGAGGTGGCTGTGGAAAAAGATGTCTGGGCCTCCCCGCTCAAGCTGTTGCCCCAGCGACCTGACTTCGGAATAAGCGGAAGATAATGGATGGATGGATGTGTTTTACTCATTCTAGCCTCTGTTCCCCTTGATTTACTTTGACCAACTCAAGTTAGCGTCTTCAACAGATTTCAGTGGATACACAGCATTTAGCAGCACACACAACTTTTCTAGTTGAGGCTAGCATTTCTCAAATTATCTTGTAAAGGTTAATACAGCAGACAATGTTAGCTCTGTGTTTGTTTCTGTTTTTTTACAGACAAAACACAGCAGCGTCTAAATTTTACCTTGAGCGTGGCTGAAACAACTCTGAACCGCTCGGCAGAAGTCCTTCAGACGATCACTCCCATCAGCAGCAGGGTAGAGGAATGGGCCAGCAACATGAGAAACAATGAATACTCTACAGCTGCTTATGAGCAGGCTGTCACTTCTGCAGGAGAAGCAGGTAGAATATCACTTTCACACACGCACACTTTAAATCATGACCAGAGAAGCTGTTCATGTGAGAATGTTCAAATTTAAATCAGTTTGTACGGATGTTATTTTGAAAACGTACTCCCAGAAAATGTAAAATATACGTACAGTATATGCTCATGTGTGTCTGAAGCGGATTATTGTAAATTTACCATACTTGCCGCTATATACGGCGCATCAGTCCAAATATGTCTAATAAAGTGGAAAAAACATAAATCAGTCACTTTGTCGTATAAGTCGCATCTATTATGCGTCACCGCTGACAACCCAGAAATGTGGGCCAGTGTTGTGCCAAAAATCGATTGGCTGCCAAATGACGGCCGTGGGAGCATGCATGGGAAGACTTTAACAAGAATTTTACAAAATTAACACTTAAAAACAATTATTTGTTTGCTCAAAATTATAGTAAAGGTGTGTCTCAGTTTAACGTTTCCTTAATAAATGTACTTTGATGGTAAAATCAGCTGCATTGAGTAAGTAAGTAAAGTTTATTTAAAAAAGCACTTATCACAGACATAAAATCACAAAGCGCTATGCAATAAAAATCAACTCTAAAATATACAAAGAATAAAACAAGCAATGCATTTCTCCTGGGTGGCATAGTGAAATGCAGCTGCTTTTGATGTTTGCACCAAGAGTTCCGGAGCGAGACGAAGGTGGCCTTGTATAGCTAGTCAAGTGTCTCATTAATAGCCACTTCTACATATTAATGAGATGCTTGGCTTGCCATATTACTCGAGCACCCTCTAGCAGCTGAAAATGGAAGTGTTCAATATTTTCTATTCAGAATGAATGAAATCATCAGATCTCAGCCAAAAATTGGGTTATAAATATGGAGAAAAAAAACACAAGTTGTTTTGCTATATAAGTCGCAGGGCATGCTAATTTATGCAAAAAGGCGCGACTTATACAGCGAAAATTACGGTACTGAAAGTGAGTTGATGCTGGGACATTTTGTCAGTTTGGACATTTTGCAGCTTTTCTCTTTGTTGATTCAGACTTTTATTAACAGTGGGAATGTACAGTACTATAATGAAGGAAATCTCATAATTCTCACCTGCTGCCAAAGATGAAAGGCTGGTGTGTGTATTAGCAAAACATTTCATAAATCACTGAATATTTTTAATGAAACCTTCAGAAAGTAATTGTTGCATGTACGTACAGCTGATTAGCATTTGAGGTCAACCTGTTTCAAAATGGCTGCCAAAGCCAAATGACCTTTTCAAACATAAAAAGGCTGGAACTTTACAAATCATAATCTGATATTAGGTGTTGCAGCAGCTGTCATTCACAACACATACTTTGAGTTCTACACATCACTCAACACTGTGAGTCTATTATCAACATATCTTATGGATTTTAATGAAATTCCAAGAAATGTAATTACTGTATGTTGTCTGGAATTGAATAAGATAATTAACAACAAACACTCTAACACTGTTGTTGCTCTGGCTTTGTGTTGCAGTGGAGAACCTGAACGTGCTTGTGCCGGAACTGCTGGACAAGCTGAAGGTGGTTGAGGAAAAGAAACCCGTCAACAATGTGACCACCAACATCATGAGAGTCAGAGAGCTCATCTCCCAGGCCAGAAGTGTAGTCAGAAAAGTTAGTCCTCGTTCATGTTTCTTTGTTTTTGTTCATTACTGTTCAGTGAAAGTTGTGATATTCAAACACTGTAAATGAAAAACAAAGTGTAACATTTTACAAATTCTGGGATTATTTAATTACATTTAGTCTACACTCAATTTTAAGAATTGTTAAACATTATTTCATTGGTACCAAATACAGTTCTACAAACTCACAAAAATTGTTTTGATTTGTTTCACACACACATTTTAAAATAAAAATTCATCTAGGGTTTCACATTTGTAGAACATTCTTGTAATCTAAGTGACTGACTGGATGTGTTAGTATTCATAATACAATATAGATACACCAGAGTATCATCAACAAAACATCACATACTGTCTAATAACTTTACCTAATGGAAGCATATATAAAATAAAGAGTATATGTCCAAGCACTGAACCCTGAGGAACTCCATAGCTAAATTTGGTATATGATGAAGATGCATTATTGACATTTACAAATTGGAATCTATCAGCTAGACATGATTTAAACCAATTTAGAGCTGTTCCTTTAATTCCAACATACTATTCAAGTCTCTGTAATTGAATATTATGATCATCTGTATCAAATGCAGCTCTGAGGTCTAACAGGCCAGTGTAGACACCTGTCCATTATCAGAGGCCTTGAGAATTCAATTCAGTTTATTTATATAGCGCCAAATCACAACAAAGTCGTCTCAGGGCACTTTACAGGAACAAAATACAATATCATTAGTGACTTTCACCAGTGCATATTCAGTGCTGTGGTGAGCTCTAAATCCTGACCAAAATTTCTCAAGCAGAATAGTTCTATCCTGATATTCACACGATTGGTTTGCAACTATTTTTTCAATATTTTTGTTGTTGTTGTAAGGGTTGAACAGTATGGGTCTTTAATTGGCAGGAGCTCCTGAATCAAGATCAGGTTTCCTAAGTAAATGTTTAATTACAGCAAACAAAGCACTGTGGTTTGTAACCATTCATTAAAGACAAATCAAAGAGATTCAAAATGCTGATAATAATTAAAGGACACACCTCTTTAAATAGTCTGGATGGGACAGGATTCAGCAGACATGTTGATAAAACTGTTCTTGTTGACAATTCAGAGTTCATCAGGACTGAAATAGTCCAAACACAAATCATGTTCTAGTGACGTTTCTAAAGCTGTTTCATTTGATAGATAATCAAGTAATGTTTTCATTGAAGCCATAATGTTGCTGTTCTCTGTAACATCACATCCAGAAAATGAAGGAAAAAAAACTCCTCCACCTGTGCGCATTTTCTGACGAGGCAGGAGACTCAGAGAGTTGGAGGTAACCAGGAAATCCTGGAGTGGAGTTTTAGTGGCTTGAGTATTCTCCTATTAATCAAGTGGAATGGATTTGTTCATGAAGAAAGAGAAACTGAGCCGCCTGAACTAATGTTTTATAGTAAAAGTGTGTGTGTGTGTGTGGGGGGGGGGGGGGGGGGCGTGTTTCAAAAGGACGGTTTTGAAGGGGGGGGGGGGGACTTGTCCCCTTCACATATAATGGTTGCAACACCTATGGGTATTTTACATGCTACAACCAGGTCAAGGCTACGATGAAAGGAATGAGGAGGTCTGTGGATATTTTGGGTAAAACTAATTAACACTATTAAATTATTAAAGGCTAAATTTAAGCTATCATTTTCAACATCTGCATACGTATATGAATATTGAAACCCCGACCATTATAACTTTATCAGTGTTCAATAAATGATCAGATAAAAATAATCTCTGAAAACAGAAATAAAAATGGAGAAAAGGGCCTGATTGAAGATAAAAACAACAAATAAAAGTTTTTTTCTTCAGATTTCTATTTTGAATTAGAAATACTGAGAGACAACAAGGACTTGAAAGAGTTATATAACTAGCTTAGCATTAATCAATGTCAATAATACTGATTAAAAAATAGAAGCTACTCCTCGTCCTTCACCGAGGGGTGAAGAGGGGGCCGAGATTGTGGTGAGGTAGGCAGCTGACCTGGGACTAGAAAGCCACGGTTCGACTCCCAGCCATGCCCACATATCGTGGTGTTTCTGAGCAATACACCCAATCCCTAACTGCTGCCGGGTGCTTACATAGCTGCCCACTGCTCCGCCTGGGTGTATCTCAGGTGTGATGGGTTAAATGTAAAGAACTAATTTAATCATTGTATGTTCCCATACAATGACAATCTAAGACTTCCCTTCCCCCACCTGTTGTTCCAAGAATATGAAAATTGAGATAAATAATAATAACAGTGCATCCTAAACTCACTGATAAACCCAAAAAGTGTGGAAAAATTAAACGTTCCTCAAACACAAAAGTATCCATCCATCCATTTTTTTTTCTGCTTATCTGGGGTCGAGTCGCAGGGGTAGCAGCCTAAGTAGGGAGGCCTAGACTTCCCTCTCCCCAGCCACTTGAGCCAGCTCCTCTGGGGGAAACCTGAGGCGTTCCCAGGCCAGTCGAGAAACATAGTCCCTCCAGCGTGTCCTGTGTTTTCCTCTGGGTCTTCTTCCGGTGGGACGTGTCCGAAACACCTCACCAGGGAGGTGTCCAGGAGGCATCCTAAACAGATGCCCGAGCCACCTCAACTGGCTCCTCTCGACGTGGAGAAGCAGCGGCTCTACTCTGAGTCCTTCCCGGATGATCAAGCTACTCACCCTATCTCTAAGGGAGAGCGCAGACACCCTGTGGAGAAAACTCATTTCGGCTGCTTGTATCAGAGATCTCGTTCTTTTGGTCACAACCCTAAGCTCATGACCTTAGATGAGGGTAGGAACGTAGATCGATCTGTAAATTGAGAGCTTCGCCTTTTGACTCGGCTCTCTCTTCACCATAACAGACCTGTACAGCACCCGCTTCACTGCAGATGCTGCACCTATCTGCCTATCGATCTCTCTCATTCGTGAACAAGACCCCAAGATACTTGAACTCCTTCACTTGGGGCAGGACCTCCTCCCTGACCCGGAGAGGGCACTCTACCCTTTTCCGGCTCAAGACCATGGCCTCGGATTTGGAGGAACTGATCTTCATCCTGGCTGTGTCGCATTCGGCTGCAAACCACTCCAGTGAAATCTGTAGATCACGATCTGATGAAGCCAACAGGACCACATCATCTGCAAAAAGCAGAGACGCAATCCTAAGGCCACCAAAACGGATCCCCTCAACACCTTGGCTGCACCTAGAAATTCTGTCCATTAAAGTTATGAACAGAATCGGTGACAAAGTGCAACCTTGGCGGAGTCCAACTCTCACCGGGAACAAGCCTGACTTACTGCCGGCAAGGCGGACCTGGCTCTGACACCAGTCATACAGGGACCTAACAGCCCATCTCAAAGGACCTGGTACCCCATACTCCCAGAGTACCCCCCCAGGGTTCCCAGAGGGACGCGGTCGAACGCCTTCTCCAAGTCCACAAAGCACAGGTATACCAGTTGGGCAAGCTCCAACGCACTCTCTAGGACCCTGCTGAGAGTGTAGAGCTGGTCCAGTGTTCCACAACCAGGACAAAAATCGCACTGCTCCTCATGAATCCAAGGTTCGACTATCCGATGGACCCTCCTCTCCAGAACCCCCGAATAGACCTTACCAGGGAGGCTTAACAGCGTGATCCCCCTGTAGTTGGAACACACTCTACAGTCCCCCTTTTTGAATAGGGGGACCACCACCCTGGTCTGCCAATCCAGGGCAACTTCCCCCGATGTCCACACAATATTGCAGAGTTGCGTAAGCCAACACAACCATACAACATCCAGAGCCTTAAGGAACTCCGGGCGAATGTCATCCACCCCTGGGGCCCTGCCACCGAGGACCTTTTTAACCACCTCGGTGACCTCAACACCAGAGATTGGAGGGCCTGACCCAGAGTCCCCAGGCTCTGCTTCCTCAGTGGAAGACGTGCCGGTGCGATTGAGGAGGTCTTCAAAGTATTCTGCCCACTGACCCATGACATCCCGAGTTGAGGTCAGCAGCACACCACCCCCACTATAAACAGTGTTGGTGGTGTCCCGCTTTCCCCTTCCTGAGATGCCAGGTAGTGGACCAGAATCTTCTCGAAGCCGTGCGCGTCATTCTCCATGGCCTTTCCGAACTCCTCCCATGCCCGAGTTTTTGCCTCAGCGACCACCCTAGCTGCATGTCACTTGGACTGCCGGTACCCATCAGCTGCTTCCGGGGTCCCACAGGCCAAAAAGGTCTGATAGGCCTGACAGCATCCCTCACCGACAGTGTCCACCACCAGGTTTGAGGGTTGCCGCCGCAACAGGCACCGACAACCTTGCAGCCGCAGATCTGGTAAGCCGCCTCGACAATAGAGGCACGGAACGTGGCCCACTCGGGCTCAATGTCCCCCACCTCTCCTGGAACATGTTCAAAGTTCTCCCGGAGGAGGGAGTTAAAGCTCCGTCTCTCAGGAGACTCTGCCAGACATTCCCAGCAAACCCTCACAATACGTTTGGGTCTGCCAGGTCTGACTATCATCCTCCCCCACCATCTGAGCCAACTCACCACCAGGTAGTGATCAGTGGACAGCTCTGCCCCTCTCTTTACCCGAGTGTCCAAGACATGTGGCCGTAGATCAGATGAGACGACGACAAAGTCAATCATCGAACTGCGGTCTAGGGTGTCCTAGTGTCAATAGCACATATGGACACCCTGCTTGAACATGGTGTTCATTATGGACAATCCATGACAAGCACAGAAGTCCAACAACAGAACACCCCACGAGTTCAGATCAGGGGGGCCGTTCCTCCCAACCACACCCCTCCATGTCTCACTGTCATTGCCCACGTGAGCATTGAAGTCCCCCAGCAGAACAAGGGAGTCCCCAGGAGGTGCACTTTCCAGTACCCCCTCCAAGGACTCCAAAAAAGGTGGATAATCTGAACTGCCATTTGGTGCATAAGCACAAACGACAGTCAGAACCCTCCCCCCACACGTATGTGGAGGGAGGCTACCCTCTCATTCACTGGGGTGAACCCCAACACACAGGCACCAAGATGGGGGGCAATAAGTATGCCCACTCCTGCTCGGTGCCTCCCACCAGGGGCAACTCCAGAGTGGAAGAGTGCCCAACCCCTCTCAAGGAAACTGGTTCCAGAGCCAGAGCCATGCGTAGAGGTGAGTCCGTCTATTTCTAGCCAGAACCTGTCAACCTCACACACCAGCTCAGGCTCCTTCCCCACCAATGAGGTGACATTCCACATCTCAATAGCCAGCTTCTGTAGCTGAGGATCAGACCATCAGGGTCCTCGGCCACCACCCATCCCACATTGCACCCGACCCCTTTGGCCCCTCCCACAGGTGGTGACCCCATGGGAAGGGGGACCCACGTCTCCTCTTTGGGCTGTGCACTGTGTGTACTACTACATTTTTACTGAACTACAAAAGTAGTTCAGTAAAAATGCAGTAGTAAAACAACTGTCAGCGTGTGTAAATGTCAGATAAAGCCAGAAAATTAAGACTTCTTGAGCAAACAAATTACTCCATCTACTAGCAGGGAAACAGGAAGTGGCACCATAGATCTTACCACAGATATTGGCATGTCAGCCTCCAAAGTTGTAACAACTGCATTATTTCATGTATAAGTTTTGGAAGCTGTTATAACCAGAAGCTTTAATACAGTCTTTCTTGTTTCTTCTGCTTTAGGTCCAGGTGTCTATGAAGTTTAATGGTCAGTCTTCAGTGGAGGTGCATCCACACTACAACCTGGAAGAACTGAAGACAGTGACATCTATCAGTCTGTTTGTCAGGGTGGACCCAGACAAGGACCCCATAGAAGACAGGTTCATCCTATACTTGGGAGACAAAAATGTGAGTTATTTGGGCAGACTAAATGTTCATGTTTTGTTTCAGGGCCATTAGTGATCTTAACATAAATGTTAAATGGGGGCTTAGCTTTAGCATTACACTTACTCCAGACTCTAACCCATCCGGCTGCTTGAAGTCTGATGTGTGTGTAAATGGGTGTG